ACGAATTTGGAAAAAGTGAATTCGTTCAAACGGATTGTATTCGAATATTAAAAATTTTAATTATTTGTAATTATTTTTTTTTTCAAGAATAAAGATCGATTATTATATTGTTATATTAATATTGAACATTGCAAATTTAAAATTGATCTCTCAATATTCGGATATTTTTGAATGCTATAACGAATCTGGATGTTCATTGTTCCTTGTCGATTTTTGTTTGTATTCAGAATGTTATATAATATTTGATTCTCTTTCAATAGGTATAAATTTTCTTTAATAAATATCTACCATTGCCTACAATCTGTGATTGTATTATTAATGAGCCATTCGTATTTAATTAAACTGTAGTTCAAATTTAATCTCGCGATTAAAATTGAAGAATTGTTTTCAATCATTTCTTATTTTTATTATTAAAATACCGTAAGCTCTCTATTGAAAATAAAGATATGAAAATCCTCTATAGAAATGAGAAATATTATTTTTACAAAAATAATTAAGAATGGCCAGAAAGCTGGAATTATTATTTTCTATTCCATGCCAAAACAATTTAAACCCATTTATCATCCATTTCAATCGAACTTAAATTGATAAAAATTGAACAAGATTGAAGTATAGATATAATAAATTTCAAAGTATAAAAATCCTACGAAATTAAATAAAAATAAAATTTAATAAATTTAAAAAAATTTACCGAAAACCAAGATACGAAGATCCTTTCTCCAAACTAAGTGTCGTTTGATTCAAAAATAAAAAAAAAAAAACGAAAACCGCCGTCCAAATAGCCGACACACTACTTTCTATCCCACGGGAGGCCAATTCGAGAAAAAAAAAAAAACACCGTAGCGTGTCGCGCGATCGCGGTGGCGGAAGCGAAAGAGGTGGGGGAGGAGCGAGCGGAGCTGATCGCCGGCTATGAAATTTAATTTCATAAATGGCAATCGGTGGTCCACGAATTCATGGTCTGTTTGCTCGTCCGCCGTGTGTACAAACGGGGGCGTTATCCGTAATACGTATTCCCCGCGGCTATCCCGGCTCGTGGCCGCCTCGCGCGCGCACCGCCGCCGCCGCGATTGCGCGCGGCGATCGAAATCACGAGGCAGCGCGTGTGGCCTCGTCTTCCCGTCCATCGCTCGATAATTACTTACGCGCGGCAATTAGATAATGGACGAGAGGGATGAGAGGTGAGAGGCGTGCGTATGTGCGTGTGCCGGCCGCGCAAAGGGAGGAGGAGGAAGAGGAGGAGGGAGGAGAGAGGGAAGAGGAGGGAGGGAGGGAAGAGAAAAGGGAGCGCGCGACCGCGATCAATCGTCACGTCAAACGAATCGAATGGTGGGCGCGCGATCGTCGACGTGTCTGGCATTTTTATTCGCCGCGGTCGGAACGGATGGAAAAAGCCGCGGTCCCGGTTTTTCCCGACGACGACAACGACGACGACGACGACGACGACGCACGCAAACCTCATAAAACGGATAAAAGCCGGCTCCGTCCATGCGTGCTATCGAATGAACCGAATTCTTTTACGTCCCACCGAGCCCGGGGATCGTACTGACTAAGGCCGAACCAAGATTTCTACCCGGATACCGAGCGGGGGAGTTGGACGAACAACCACCACAGGCAGCTTCTTTTATGCTCTGTAACTTTCTGGAAGAGAATTATGTAAAAGCGTTATCGTTTTATTTGAAAGGAGCGAGGGGTGTGTTTGACAAATGTGTGATCATTGAAATCGTATCGATCGTTCTCCGTCGACGTCCGGTTACAGGTTTATTTCTTTTTTTTTTTT